GCTTGCGCTGGTTCCCAGAGTTCATGAATTCAAGCGTCCTACGAGGCTGGCATCCCGCTCTCACCCTTTCACTGTTGAAAATGTTAAATGTAGCCGTTTCTTCTACTCCAATAGCTTCATGTCTCGGACTTCTCGCCTGTGGAACTCCCTTCCCTATTCCAGTTTCCCTGATAGCTATAATCTCCAACTATTCAAATGTAATGTAAATCGACATCTCCAGTTGCCTTGATGTATCTACTATCTTTCTCCTCATCCTTTCCTCTATCACTTCTCTTTGCTCTCGCTCCAAATCCTCTGTAACCCCTTGCGTGCTAGTGGCTTCCAGCCTTGCTTGGGGTGAAATGCTTAAAAATATTGCTATATTTAGAAAGGAAGAGTGTTTAATATTGGGGATAAAGCGCTTATAGGTATAGGTATGTGCGTACATAGGAATCAACATGCTTGATGACTAAGCCGGGTTAATCTAACACTAAGACACGGAACAATAATCAAGTGGATTAAACTTTGGTTCGTGAATACGGTAGTATAGTAATCGTGGGTTCAATTCCTGGGCCGGGTAGTGCAGACTTCGACTCGGCGTAGTAGATGTACTGCGGAGCGAGAACAATCTACTCCCCTAGATTAAATAAGGAGTTCAGTTCGAAATTCCCTGAAGGTTATTCGGATTGACAGGTATTTGAAGAAGATCGCAGATCGCAATAGTCGAAACTTTGCGATAATATCAACGAAGTTAATGACATTAGTATATATTATTAATATAGTATAATAATATTTTTATCAGATTTTTTCATTTTTTTCTATATGTTTTCCTTTATTTCCCTTATATATCGTGAATACATATAAAAACTATCTATACCTTGAATATATCATTAATTTAATTATTGTATATGTGGGTGGATCAAAAATATTTTCTTTTTTTTACAGTCCTTAACTCTAAAGCTTATTTCATGTACACATCTAAAGACTTCACTATTATTATTATTATTATTGTGTGAGGGAACGGCAGGCCAACTAATTGACTCCAAAGCCCAATATAGCCACCATGACACTCAGTCGGATAAGGGTATACCAGACGCATGCATCACAGCTAAATATACACGATATAGTGAGAGGTTTTGATAAAAGCAGTGCATAACCTTGGAGGTGAGGCCCAGTTAGAAATGCCTTCAGGTCGAATAACCCACACTTGGTCTCCAATTAAGGCTACTCGCCTGTATTAAGATATGACTCCCAAGTCATTTTAGCTGCTTCATCCTACACATTAAAAAAACAAAAACAAAAAAAGAAAGAATCTTTTCAACCCCTCGGCTTCCGGTCATGATACACCCTAAATACTCCCAGTTATGAACAGAGACACATTGATGACAGCTAAGTACCATTACATGTCTGACAGAGTATGGGAATAGTTTTGTCATGGACACACACACACACACACACACACACACACACACACACACACATATATATATATATATATATATATATATATATATATATATATATATATAAGTGTTACCTGATGATCCGAGTCCTTCAAAAAAGGATTTTGGTGAAATAAATTATTGTAATGGTACCTTAAAGTGGTCCGTTTTTTTCATTAAATATTAGCTCTGGATTCATTGAGCTCTCAGGATTTCATCCTCCTTGGAATTACCCATTCGGTTTACCAAGTTCTTCGTAACTTATATATATATATATATATATATATATATATATATATATATATATATATATCGCACATATAGTGCCGGTGTTAATAAAACAGTGATCGATGTAATACAACAGAGCTATTAAGCATATATTAATAAATATACATACTATCCGTCAACGCTATACTGGGATTATAGTTTTTAAAAATTTAAAACCAATTATAATAAACGGGATTTGTATATGTATGCAAAAAAAATTTAATTTATTTATTTAATTTAGTTGTGAATATTCATTTTTTTTAATTAAAGGGAGATTACTTTTTCTTATTTAAAAACAAAAAACAAAACAAACAAGCACTAACTTATATTAAAAATGAACAGGAATTTACATTCAAAATAAATCGGAATTTACATTAAAATTGAATCTGGATCAACGTATTTAAGCAAATATTATGCCTACATGTAATCATCATTTCATTTCTCTTGTTTAATAAGCTTGGCTTATTTAAGTATTTTAAGATAATCAGTTTCTCAACAAGACATACATTACATTTATTTCCTTTTCCGTTATAAGATTTGGCTCTTGCTATAATATCCCAGTTAATAGAAGGGGAGCTGCCAGTATTTTTAGTTACCAGAATTATGTAGAGAGAGCAGTGTTGTTTCTGTATTTTATATTAGCTAAAATCATTTGATGATGGCAAAAACGAAATTTCGAAGGATTTCATATTATCCTTCATACAATGAGTCGGGCTAGTGATGAAGGATAATATATATATATATATATATATATAATTTTTTACCCTCTCCTCGTAAATAAAATGGACTGCTTCACTATCATTATAGTACGGTTTATATATCAATACTTAAATTATACAACGGTCAATTTTCAATCAGCACTTGAAAATGGTGTTGTAAATGAAAGTCAAAGGAAATAAAATATTATATTATATATATATATATATATATATATATATATATATATATATATATATATATGTGTGTGTGTGTGTGTGTGTGTGTGTGTGTGTGTGTGTGTGTGCGTGTTGTAAGCAGCAAAAAATATGTGCTGTGTGTGGTGAAGGTGCTTTAGCTGACAGAACTGTACGGGAGTTTTCCCTTAGTTTAGAATTGGTGACTGTTGCCTTATTGATGAGAAACGCCCAGGCAGACCCCGAATACAGATGCGACCAAATCAAGACATTGTTTGAGAATAACCCCCATTACACAAAGTGGAAATTGGCAGAAGCACTAAATTTATCAAAATTAGCCGTCTATGAGCACTTAGTGAAGCTTGGGTACTCAAATCGCTACAATGTTTGGGTACCACGTGATCTGAGTGAAAAGAAGCTTTTGGATCACATTTCATTTGTGATTTGCTGTATAAACGCAATGAAAATGCACCCTTTTAAAACAAATTGCGACGGGTGATGAGAAATGGATCCATTACAATAATGTTCAACAAAAAAATCCTGGGGCAAGCGACATGAGCCAACTTTAGCTACCTCAACAGGAATGGTTTTGTTTCCATCAGGATAGTGCCAGACCTCACGTTTCTTTGGCGATCTGGCAAAAATTGTTGCAGCGTGGCTGGGATGCGTTACCCTACCCGCCAAATTCACCAGACATTGCTATTTCGGATTTTCATTTATTCAGGTCCTTGCAAAATAAACTCAAAGGATAAAAAATTGAATTCTTTCGATGACATAAAAAACACCTTAATGAGTTCTTTGCCGAGAAACCACCAAAATTCTGGAAAAACGGAATCTTTAAGTTGAAGGAAAAATAGGGAAAGGTTGGGTAACAAAATGATTCATATTTAGTTAAATAAACATTTAATGATATAATTTTATTTTGTTTTGTGTTTTAATTTCCTAAAACTAAAGTTTTCAATTTAATTATAAAATTAAATTTAAAATCCATAGCTCCAACCCATTATCAAAGTTCTTAAATTATTATTATTATTATTATTATTATTATTATTATTATTATTATTATTATCAAACTTAATAGCTTATTCCAAAAATCGCTTGATAATGGAATGAAACTATGGATTTTAAATTTAATTTTATGATTTAAAATTTTAGTTTCTGTTTTGAAACATAGTAATTCTTGTGTAGCGATGGGATCATAGTTTTAAAATAGTAAATAATTATAATATATATATATATATATTTGTATATATATATATATATATATATATATATATATATAGTTATTAACAAAAGTTTAAGATCACCTACCTATAGCAAAGTTGTTTACGATTTTTATTGCATTATTTTGTATCATATGAGATTGCATGATACAATGGCTTTTTTTTATTGCATCGGCCATTATTACCACATGATTTATGGTCAAAACCTTTTTGTCATTGCCAAATTAGCAAACATTGTGATAATATTTGTGTAGTGAATTAGGCTTAGAATATGAGTAAAAAAAATTCTCTTTTTCACCAACACAAACGTCTCAAATTGTTTCTACGCGATGAAAGCTCATATGAACGTGAACTTAGTTTAAAAGTAGGTTGTAGCAAAACAGTTATTAACACTGCTACTGTGAGTTTCCAACATTCAGTGACATTTAGCGACAAGGGAAGAAGTGGACGTCCAAGGAAAGCCAATGCTAATGACTACCTGATAAAATGCATTGCGACACGATAACCAAAAAGTTTCAACGTGAAGATACCCGCTCTTCTGATTCAGAATTCTACATATGTTAGTTTGATGAGAGTTTCACGCCGTCTGAGATTTGAGTTTGTTCTGAAATTACTCAAATAAGCTCGTACACCACGGAAAACTGTAGCTATGAAATCGAAGCGTCTCGCATTTGCTAGGCAAAATGAGACCAAGTCAGCTGAAGACTGGAGCAAAGTTGTTTTCAGATCAATTTATTTTGAAGTAGTTCGTTATGTGCAACAGAAACATTATAATATCCCCTGGTAGGAGATTTGATAAAAAATACACAATCCAGACTATGATGCACCCAAAAAGACAGATGATTTGGGGAGGTATGTCCAAATCTGGAACCGCTTGACTCCAAGAACAATAATGAAAGGTGCAAGATATGTGCGACTTTTACAGGAGGAACTGGAACTGCATATGCACACACATCCATGCACAATATTTATGCATGATGGTGCTCGCTGTCAGCGATCAAAGGTATTTCAGAACATTTTGAATAGGATCAACGAGAAACACAGGAATGGCCAGGAAACAGCTCAGATCTGAATCCGAATGAAAATTCATAGGAAATTATGAAAGGAATTGCTGTAGAAAATTCATAGGAAATTATGAAAGAAATTGCTGTAGAAAACTACATTGAAGTAGCAAAACACTGATTGATGTTTCATTAAAGAAGTCTTGGAAAATTAAATTTTAGTTCGTTGTGTATAGACTTGATTCTCTGCATGCCTTGTGGAACACAAGCAGTAACGAAAGCAAAGAAGGTCATACAAAATACTGACCGCTTAACTATTTGGCTTGAAATGAAAAGAGAACATCGTCATGTATACATTTATGAGTACAATTACAAGGTGGTCATAAACTTTTTCTAATGACTGTATAGATAAAAGTGGATGCTAAGGGCAATACTAAGTGGCGATAGTCTGTTTCATGCTTGAACCCAAACTTTAGGTCACGGAAACTGTTCTGATGAGCTGCTTTCGTTGGTTCCCAGACTTCATGAATTTAAGCGTTCAACTAGGCTGGCATCTCGCTCTCACCCTTTTACTGTCGAAACTGTTAAATGTTGCTGTCTCTTCTACTCCAATAGCTTCATGTCTCGCACTTCTCGCCTGTGGAACTCCCTCCCCATTTCTTGTTTCCCTGATAGCTATAATCTCCAACTATTCAAATGTAATGTCAATCGACGTCTCCAGATACCCTGATCTATCCCCTAACCTTTTCTTCATCCTTTCCTCTATCAGTCCTCTTTGCTCTCGCTCCAACTCTCTGTAACTCCTTGTGTGCTAGTGGCTTCCTGCCTTGCTTGGGGTGGAATGTTTAAAAAAACACCTTTACTCATAAATATAGCATATTTCAATATTTCAAAACTATATCCTTTATCATAGATATCTTAGACTGTCCGTCCTTAGTGAAGAGGTCGCTGCCTATTCACCTCAGTCCGTCTTCTGTGGGCTGCCAAACGAGACAGCAGCCCGATCCGCGAGCAACAAGTTCTCGGGCACAGGTGGCAGGGAAACATGCCCGGTGCGGAATTGGCAGGATGCAGATGACGCCGGCGTCGCCTCCCCTCGAGCTCTCCTCGTCGAAATGCGCCACTCCGGCAGCCGATCCGATCCCTTGCGAGGCTCTCCAATTGTGTTGTTGGGTCAATATTGCAGGAGACAAGAGCACGCTTATATATATATATATATATATATATATATATATATATATAAATATATTAAGGCATTAAAAACTAGAAATGTAGTATTGTAGGCCATGATAAGTTTAAAATAAAACACAACAGTCGACCGGTTTCGTCCCCCTCGTCAGAACTGTTAACGGGGAATTTAGATTATGAGGAAAAAAAAAAGTCTGTCATGGGTGACATGAATGAATGGACAGGGAAGGAAAAAAAAAAAAAATATATATATATAAAATTATACCAACCAAGCTGCTAGAATCGCATCACAGCAAGTCCAAGCAAACAATCTCTGTTTGCAAAGAGCAGGCTGCCTAGACCTGATGTAAAGCGACTCCAGCACCTTAAGATGGAAAAGTGAGTGCGAACTGGCCAAGATGGAAAACCAGTCCACACTGAAATCCATCGCACAAGTTGGATTCTTTATAAAATGATCCGCAATGGAAGACCCATACGTGTTACGAATGGTATCACCCAAAGAAAATTTTTTTTGTTTAGTATTATCGCAGGTACGTGTTGTTTAATTCTCACGTCCAACCGCTGTGTCGTTCTACCTATGTAGTCGCATCCACAACTACATTTAAATCTATCATGGCCTACAATATAAAATTTCTTGCTTTTAATGCCTTAATATATATATATATATATATATATATACAAAGAAAAATCACACATAGAATTAATCAGAATATTTCTTGTATGTAAATCATATGCTGCCTAATGTTTTATGTTTATTAAAAACTATCGATCCGCAGTACATAAAAAATTCTTATAAAAAAAACTACTACTAAGACATTACACTATATTATTGAACTATATACTTAGTTCATGACATAAAAACTAATACACTTGTAAAATAGAATATGTGGATTTAACACATCACAAGACATATTTAAATAAAATTCTCACTTAAAAAATTTTGAAAACTTAGCGTTGCGTCTTTGCGCGTTCCACGATCTTACACACCCGTCAACAATAGCAGATATTCAAAAAAACATCTTTCGGTCGACATACAGATATATCGTCTCAAGTTTTTGATTTTATAAAAAAAAAACACATGCCTGATGATGGATGGAAGACCGTCCGTAAGTACTAGCATTTTAACATCAAATAAACTGAAAAACTACAGACAACAAGTTTTTTCAAGGATCAAACTCGCACTCTGGATGAACAGGATTTTAATGCATATATTATGTTTTCTAGCGACGGATGTCGCCAATAATCGCATTAATACTTCTGATTAATTCTATGTGATTATTCTTTGTATGTAAATCATATGCTGCCTAATGTTTTATATACATATATATATATATATATATATATATATATATATATATATATATATATATAATGGAATATATCTAAGAATTCTTCTAGCTAGATTCCTCAGCGTTCTAGTATGACGTAAACCATTTCATAAAAGCATTATTTTTTGTTCTGTAGAGATGGCGCTGTAATTACCAGTATCAAAATGACAGATATATGTTGGCAATTAAAGAAATAATTGTTATTCGCCGTCTTTCTTGCGAGCTAGCTATCTGAAAATTTATACACATTCTGAATACAGAGTAATAACCAGATATAAAAAAAATAACATTGCTTCAGCGCTCCATAATTAACATTTTTAATTAAATCAAATAAGGATAATTTTTTGTCACCTGTGTCTGGAAGTAACTTCACTATTTTAACTTATTTGAACTTTGAGATGAAATATTATCATGATTAATTTATATATAAACTGTTCTTCGTCTTATTTTTATTGTCTTGTGACAAATTATTTAGGCAGAGAAATACTTTCTGGACAAATGAAAGCACATTTCGGTTGGAAGGCACGTCATATGAAGAGAAAGGCACATTCTAGTTACAGGAAACCACTTTTGAGAGAAAGAATGGTAAGCAGAAAAGACATTTGCTAAGGAGAGTAAAAACATTTCCTAGACAAAGGTACTTTCTTGGTAGAGAAAGGGGCTTTCTAGACAAGGAAAACCATTTCCGAATCAGTGAATGACATTTCCAAGACAGGCAAGGGCATTTTCTTGGTAGAGAAAGTGACTTTCTAGAGAAGGAAAAGCATTTCTGAATCAGAGAAAACAATTCCTAGACAGAGAAGGGCATTTCCTTGGTAGAAAAAGGGATTTTCTAGACACGGAAAAGCATAGTTGACAGGGAAGTAAGAAACCGAAAGAGTGTTCCTCAACGAACAAGAATAACGAGAGAAGAAACTATTAGTACAGAACTTACGGTTACAAATACACACACACACACACACACACACACACACACACACACACACACACACACATGCACACACACATATATATATGTATACCAGGTTTAACAGCAAAGTTGTCCAATTGTTAGATTAAGCTTTGAACCGTTGTATCTTAGAAATGATTAAAGATATCTTACTGGAATTTTCCGAGGTTTTTATAACACTATTGACCTCTACTTTGACCAATAAGAATGTATAATTACTCTATAAATCTTAACAGAAGAATCATGATGAAATCGATCATAAATGAAAATAACACGTTCATCATTAATTAATATATATATATATATATATATATATATATATATATATATATATATATATATATATATATATATATTTCCAGAATCATTTACAACTTATTGAAGATGATCTTTTGCCCTCTTTAAACTTCTGACTTTCTCTCACAGGTTTCACGTTCGATTTCATTTACAAGTTTTTTCACTGCTCTTTGGACTGTCATAGTTGGATCTTTTCTAATTGATCTGTTTAGCTCTAAGTTGAAATGGAGATCCCTCTTTCTTTTGTGACCTTCTGATCCCATTTTCCTCTCTACTATTCCCTCTTTTTAAAACTTATTCACTGTTCTCTTGATGGTTCTTGAATAGACTTCGAAGATAGAAGCCAGAGTATGAACGTTGGTATCATTACTGAAGGCCTGAATGATCTTTTTTCTCTCACCATTGCTCATTTGGGTAGACACAGTGAGGCTGATACAAAACAACTTTGACCTGTTCTCGTTTTAGCTGAATAACTCAAACAATTTTTACGTGATTTTTTCGACAGATGGTGTCAAGATGGCTAAACGCCTTATGTAAAAACTTTGAAAAAAAGGAAACTCAACTAGTTATGTTTTTCTTATATATTAAACATTTTGTGGTATGGATAATATATGCTGTTACACGATGTGTACAATTTTGATGTTACACCCGGTATACACACACACACACACACACACACACACACACACACACACACACACACATATATATATATATTATAAATTAATTGATTTAATTATAGTTTATATATATATATATATATTTATATATATATATATATAACGTAAATGTCTATCGAATATTTTAGTTCGGCTAGTTGTGGGTTATGATAGGAATTTTTTAAAATATTAATTATGTTAATTAACCCTATTTCAGATACAATCTTTGACTTTGAGAAAATTCATTATCATTCCCTATCGAAAGGGATATCTCGCCACATACGCACACACACACACATACATGCATATATATATATATATATATATATATATATATATATATATATATATATACAAAACAGTCCGAAAGTAGATAATTTATTTTATTTATTTGCAATTGTATCATGCAATACTTTTAAGGACACTTATTTCTACCTATTTTAATGAACACTTGAATCTTGTAAGCAGACATTCACCTTTGAAAATATGTACTTCTGACACGTAAAGTTCAATTCGCAGGATACTTCCAGACGAAATATAGAAGAAATTTGAGGGAAGACTAAAGTCAGTTAGTACGCTTAGCATTCAACAGAGAGAAGCAGCAGCTTCCGATATGATGAAAGCTAAATTTTTATAGTAAAATTACTGAGTATTTCATTCATAAGAAGAATTCAAGTGATCTATGGTCACAATGTTAAAATAATAGTTTTGTTCCAACTTCTTAAATGTTAAATTAATAAAAATTATTAAAGTTCATAATATAATTATCTTCTAACTTTAGTATATTTTTCAAAACGTTTTCAATAGTTCTTTTTAATAATTTTTCAAATGGTTATTATTTGAATAGCCATTTGAAAATGAAATACCCTCATGGTCAAATCACATTATTTAAAAGTCATGACATTGGGATGTATTCCTTAGAAAATGCTGAGGGTGTGCTAATTTATGGGGATGCTATTCTGTAGCATTCACATACCATTTAACTGCAAGGATCTGAAAAAAAAGAGGTCGGTTCAGATGAGAAACGAACCACGAAAGCTTGCGATAATTTTTAGAAACCAATATACCATTATACTTTTGAAAGCCACTGACAACGAGACCAAGTTTCAACCATTAGACACCAATTAAGACATTCTTTGTTTAATTAAAGCCATTTTTTGTTCAATCTGCAGTATTCATCCTGGTATTTGTCTTGCCGCATTCGACTACTTTTTCGCTACGTATAGACAAAGCTGATAATGCTTATTTACAAAATCAATTTTTTTTCACACTTACTTTAGCATTTAACGACATTAAATAGCAACGAGCATCAAGTGAAAAAAAAAGTAATCAAATTATATGAACAGTCAACGCAAAAGAACAATAAACGTCATTTTGTTTTTAATTGCAGTAATAAAATATCGTGATCCATCAACTGTTCTTCCAAAATGTATCCCAGATACTTCCGACCGGATGGCGTCCATTTTATCTCTTTGCTTCCGATCTAATTATGCTAATTCACACGCTGAAATCGCGTGGGTTTTACAAGTAGAATAATAACTGAGGTAAAGAAAGATAAAGTAATTTGGACACTATTTACATTATTCGAAGTATTGTCCTCATCTTTGTCGCCATATTTATTACAACGTTTCGGCCGTTGTACTCTCCGGCCTTCTTCAGGTGGTTGGAATGTCGAACTGAACCCTTTATTTCGCTCACTGGGACACATGGCACAGTGGATAAAGGCGTTAGTTAGATCCAGTGACAGCACCCAAAGAGAGTGAGTTCAATACCCGGGTAAGGCAGTGGAGAATAAACAGGAGATAACTGATAACTGACATCCATTATACATGGCACGTGGAACTAGAACAGTCTACCCCAGTGAGCGAAATAAAGGTTTCAGTTCGACATTCCAACCACCTGAAGGAGGCCAGACCGTACAACGGCCGAAACGTTGTAATAAATATGGCGACAAAGATGAGGACAATACTCCGAATAATGTAAACAGTGTACATAATACCTCATCTCAGAAATATAGACAGATACTAAAGTAATTTGGTTTAAAAAAAAAAGCAGTTTCCTTTTCACGATTTATTTTTCTGGTATGCAGCTTGACATTTTAGATAAAATCTTTTGATTACTTTTCACCATCATTTTAACTAAATCTGCATTGTCTCCATCTTTATAATGTCTAAAAAAAGAATACCCGCTCGGCCCGGTGGCTAGGATCAAAGTGTAGTATCTGTGCTTTGTGAGCTGCCGAGCCGGGTGTCTGTCGAACTCTCTGCTTGCAGAGAGGAACCCGGACGAGTCTCTGCCGAAGGGTAGGGTTTCGTTCGGGGAGGTTGACGGAACTAGCCCTCTTGGACGGGTTTAGATGGGTTTTATTTTTGGCTGGGCCTACGGGCTCAGACATACCCACATTAAAAAGGCCTTGTGCCACATTCAATTCCTGTGGGTGAATTGATAAATACCATCTTTATAATAATAAAAAAATATTCTTAAAATATGTCGCGTAATTTACAGATATTTACAGGTACCTACAAATACTTTTATTTAGAGATATTCTATTCTGTTAACTCATTTTTGTGGTAACGGACCTGGATTAATCGATACTTGACGTCTACTTTCAGAACTCAATCTCATACCCTCTTGAAAGTGAACCATGTCTTCTTAAAGCTTCTTCAATACAGTGAATTATTTTGGTACGAATTAATAGTCAAACGCGTCGGTTAATTTTTGGCAAGACTATCTTGGTTATTTCATGATACCTCACAAGCCATTAACTTATCTAAACTTTTACATGGATAATTGGATAGGTTTTTAAAAACGAGGTTCATTTATTTTTTAGTGCCTGTTTATGTAAGGACATAAGAACTAGTTTTATCCGCATACCGAATCAGGCAAATCCTCATTAAATCGTCTTATGCAGAGGCTTTTCTCTCTCGCATAACGAGTTGGCCTTTGGCTTTGATGTTTCTATCCATGTTATGAACTTAGAAACTTACGAAATTAATGAATCGGTCTGCATGGTGGCCATATTCCCAATCGTGCTGCTGTAAGCGTCTACTTTGTGTTTTATGGTTGTTAAGTCATATTACCTTGATATGGTACAAGGTCAGAACGGTGTAGTATCAAACACACGAGAAAATCGGCCTGAATGACGAGCTTTCTAGGAGTAGATAGGTTCGCCTATCGTCCGGTTCACACTCCTCTCCGCTCTTTTGAATAGGAGTAGAACTTTCGTTTCCCGTTTTGGATTAGGTTTCCGGTTCCTCCTAAAGTCTACTTCAACTCTATATTTCTAGCCTCTTCGCCTAAACTCTGACTTTCTCACATGAAATCAACTTGTTTCTTTTCCATGCGATTAAAACGGAATAGTCCATTATTTATGAAGTGTTGACAGGAGATCTTAAATACTTCTTTCTTTCCTTCTTTTTTTCTTTCTTTCTTTTTTCTTTCTTTCTTTCTTTCTTTCTTTCTTTCTTTCTTTCTTTCTTTCTTTTCTTCCCGTCTTACGAACATTTCTCTTAATAATAATGTAAAAATTATTCAGTAGACCTTGTTATCTTATTTAATTTATTGTAATTGAATTTTGGACTCGATAATGTGCGTCTGACAATATGCCGCTTATCGGTCGCCATCACTAATCGGCCTTTTGGCTGAGATCAAAGTGTAGTATCTGTTCTTATGATTCTCTCTTTCCATTTCTATCTTTTTTCTTTCTTTCATTTTTCTCACTGAAATCAGGTAATCTCTTTTCCCCTCTTTCCACGCGATCAAAACGCGGAATAGTCCATTATTTATGAGGTATTGGCAGGACGTAACGGTCGTGCGAACTAACAAAGGGAGAGACTATTGATGTTGCAAGAGCAACAACAACAACAAAAAAAAAACCAACACTAATAATGATAATAATGATACTCATGAGATATTATAGGCTTGGAAACCTGACCTTATTGTTATCGATAAAGGGAGAATAACAAATACCAAATTATTGACTTTGTTGTTCATACATTGTGCACGCTAGAGAACCTGAAAAGATAAAATAGCAGGATCTCGCACGGTAGCTTAAAAATCTCTGAAACTTGACTGTAATTCCTGTAGTAATGTGTACACTTGGAACTACCTAGAAAATTGAAAAGTATTCAAGAGAGAAGATTGTAGACCTTCAAAAAATGACGTCATTTAATCTCCGAAAAATTATTGAATTGTGAGCAGTTTCGTTGACGCCAGGCCTCAAGAACGTCAATATAAAACACCAACGTAATAATAATATTGTGGAGTTATAGCTAGTCATTAGAAGTGAACATTAAATAAGCTTTAGAGTAAAAATTTGTAAAAAAGAAAAGAAAATACTTTTGATTCACGCGTTTTCAGTTTTTTCCCTTCATTTGAGATTTAATTTTGGGGTTTTTTGAAACAGTGTCAGCCATTATCTATGTTATCTTTACTTACAAATGCTAGATTCAGTTTCCCAAAATGAAATGTGTTATCCTTCTGATGTTCAAAATTCCAACTCACTTGTGGCAAATGAAAGTGGTAATAAATGGGGTGGCTGTTAAAATCAGAAAATCTAATAAACGGGGTGGGGACTTAACAAACGGAGTGAAGCTGTGGGGTGAATGAGGAAATCTAATAATATTATTTTTGATTTGTATTTTTGTCTTTCTTGATATTTTGGGCTGAAGTAGTCTTTGTAGGCTCTACTTTGTAACTTAAAAATTAAAAGCGGGAAGTGAGTGTTTTTTGACACCCGAAACTAATCTAATTTTCATCGTTTTATTATTCTATTCTTTATTCTGCTTCGTGACCAGAACATTCAGATCCCATTAGTTTGCATAGTTCTGGATGGATTAGCTATCATGTCAATATCTTACTACGAAATATCCTCGATAATGATGCTAAAAATGAAGGGGGTGAACGTGTTACTTTTAGAGTTTTCTATCGCACAATCTCTTAACTGGCAAAAATTTCCAAACTTACTGAAGGCGTTGTGTTGGGTTAGTATATATATATATATATATATATATATATATATGATAAAATATAGTTTTAATGTATGCTATATTTATGGATAAAAGGGCTCAATATCAGAGCGTATGTAAATATAAAAGTGGACACTAACCACCGACACAATAACCGTCATCTTCATGGCCAGAAGACTTTTGCCGCGTGCTATTGACTTCAGTGTCCACTATATATATATATATATATATATATATATATATATATATATATATATATATATGCATGTATATATATATATATATATATATATATATGTATAGATACATATATATAACTGTATGTATATATATATATATATATATATATATATATATATATACATGTATGTATATATATAAATGTATGTATATATATATATATATATATATGTATATATATATATATGTGTGTGTGTGTGTGTGTATGTATGTGTGTGTGTTTGTGTGAGCGCACGAGAGAGAGAGATATATAGAGAGAAAGAGTAAATATGTTTGTGTACTTATGTATATGAATGAATGTGCTTATGTTTATTAATGTTTTATTAAAACATAAAAGACAAGCTCGAAAGACGAAAGACTAAGAGAATATCTTTAAATAATAATAAAAGTTAATTGTTGAAAGCGTCTGAAATCGCATATATTATTCAGATATATATATATATATATATATATATATATATACTATTATCATCATTTTTACTGTGATTAGAACAACGTTTCGGCACTTAGATTCTTCGCCCTTGTTTGGAGTTTTTAAAATTATTTTCGTATTTTTTTTTAATTGTTTATCTGTTTCAAACAGATCAACAGAATCACATGATTGGACGCGAGATTTATGTTCTCGTAGCGAGAACGGACTTGCTAGGAATTTCTTATCTAGTTGACGGCCGTTCGGGGAAGTGTTGATTGTTTTCAGTGTTGTGAATCATGTAAAAAAGTTAACCCTTACGAACCGAATTTTTCATATACGAAAAGGTTTTGAACTTTTTTAAGGCATGAGTTACCAGAGATTCTTTCAATGAATTCATAAAAAACTTTCTCCAATCAAACAGAAGGTTCCAAACACAACTAGATTTATTGATGCATTCATGTCCCACTTTTTTAGATTTCCATTTCATGATCTTTTTTGATAGATTTTTGAAGATCTTCATATATACATTACAGTCTGCAGTAACTACCATATCAATAAGATATTGGTTTTTCCAAATTTTTAGGTATAAGAACGCTCATAAATTTTTTTGCTTTTATGTATAAATACTTGTTACAAAATCAAATCCTCGCATTTGTCTTGATAAAGCCCCTCAGAGGACGAAACTAGTCAGCTAAGATAAGTTTTTCTTTTTTTCTTCATTCATACTATAGATTCTTTGAATATGTATTTTATAAAAGTTGATGGCATAATACATTCTGTTTAACGTGTGTCTATCGATGTCAAAGTATTTATCAGGATTCCTTTTGGGTATTTTCTACGTAATAAATAATTTTCTTTGCTAATTAAGGTGGCATTTATAAAATTAAAGTGAAGGGACTTTTGTTTCTCTGTCTTAAGAGTGAGTTTAACGAAGAAATATTTGAGAAAACAACTAGGAATCGTTAAAAATACACCCGCAGCCCCACTAAAAAATAAAAAAACCCCCAAAAACAAGAACAAAAAAAGTCCCAGGGTCAGAATTAACTTACCTAAAATAGAGCATAACTGTAACTGCACTGGCCAGCGAGATTAATGATATTCCATATCCAATGCTGTATATAATTTGAATATTCGACAAATGGGCCTGCAACATACGAACGTAGCGAATCTGTTGTAAAGTAGAAAGAATTGCAGTATCAGTGACAGACAAAACACGTTTCATTTAACTCTAGCTAATGAATGTTGAGGCTCGATTTTCCATCGTCCAAATTAAGTTTGTAAAATTTGCTAAATGAAGAAATGGAAAGATGCCTTTTGTCAGATTAAAATCATGCAATCACTTTCAAATGTTTATTCTTCAACGTGTTCCAACTCTTCCTTGTCATTTACATTATAAATGTTATCATAACGGCTATCTTTTATATTTAGCATTCAAGGTTAGATTTATAAAAATGGCGAGAGGAATAGGTGATTACACTAAACTTTAAAGTGAAAACGACATGCCTGCTTTAAAAATCATTATTCAAAATTACGTTTCTTTTCATCGCCTAAGCATCTATCATCGAATTCTGTTATTGGTTGGAAATTCATAATAAAAATTAATTATGTTTCGTATGTAGGTGACACGTAGGGTCGTGAGTGGGGACCACTTTAGAAAGCTCAAATGCTTCAAAATTCTGGATTTCGCGAATTTTAATTTTGAGCTACTTTAAACTATAAAGTATATATAACTTAGGCTACCAATGAAAAGATAATCAATTTAAAATTTAGTAAAGCAGGACTTTTAAAAGGAGACCAATTCAGCAATAGTTTCTCCAAGGAACCAAATTAATCTTAGTTTATATAAACAGTGAATATAGTAATCCAGTCGTTAAACAGGAAAAGAAAGAAATTTTTTTCATGACATATAAGACCCATTTTCCCACAAATATTAAAATTTCATAAATGTAGAAACTTGTTTTGAAATGGGTCAAACAGGAAACATGGCTGAATTATCACAACATTTGATGTAACAGTCAACATTTTTTTAAAAAATTCCTTACAGAAATCAATTGGGGTGTTTATATGCCGGTAAACACTTATATGCCATGAAATACGGTATTTAATGAGATTTCATTATTGTGAATTTTGTCACCGACAGATGAATTTCTTGCTGTGTATAATATAGATATCCTCTAAGCTAGCATGTGACCAAGTAGAGAAAATTCCAAATTTGAAGATTGTATTGCGCCAAGCTGAGAAAGGCTAGTTTTTCTGGAACATCGGCTTTATACATTTTAGCTTTTGTCAGTAGATGAACAATTCTCTTTAACAGGCTCAACTAGGAACCAAACTCTTCGGAAAATATACAGAAATCTATCAGGGGAAATTTAATTCAAATATTTGTTAAGTTTAACGGAAAAGATATTATGTGGATATTTTACTTGCAATATTTGGAAGTTTTTTTTTTTATTTCAGAGGTTTTCAGTGGACTGATCTTAGATTCTAAACTAATTCTGTTAAATATCAAATACCTTCATCCATATCTCAGTTCCTTCAATACATTCGCTGTAGTTTGTCCATGAGTGATTGTAGACATCAAGAACGTACCACTGACCATCTTCTGTACAAGTCTTCCTTGCACGCCCTATAAAAAAGAGGAAAATATATTAATAATGAATAGTGTGGCTTTTTCTGTATATTCCACTAATTGCTGCAAATGAAAGCAACAGCATATAATAGAAAACTCAAGAATCCTGACCTAATTCGAAAATGCGATATGGAGGTGAACAAGCAACGGTCATATACATTATGAGAGCACTTTAGAAATATCAAGTTTTGAGTTAACTAGAGCACACTGATACTCTAAAGATTCAAGGCAGAGGGTCGGGTA